GGGAGGGGAGCGCAGCCAACCGGCCCAGCCGGTTTCGCTGGAAGAGCAGGGAAAAGCCTCCGTGCCGGAGGGCCGCTCCCAGATGCTTTGCCAGTCACAGGCTCTTTGCCCCACAGTCCTTGGCCCCAGCAGTTTTCCCCCCCGCCGCAGCCATCCCCAGAGGAGGTCGCGGTGGTTTGCGGAGGGGCTCACATCATCGCCTTGTCCTCCTGCTCACCGTTTCTCCCTCCATCCCACAGGTAAAAGCCAATGACTCGGACCAGGGCGCCAATGCCGAAATAGACTACTCCTTCCATCAAGCCTCAGACATGGTGCGCCGGCTGCTGCGCCTAGACCGCGCCACGGGGCTCATCACCGTGCAGGGGCCCATCGACCGCGAGGACATCAACATCCTCAAGTTCTCCGTGATGGCCAAGGACAAGGGGGCCAACCCCAAGAGCGCCCGCACGCAGGTGGTGGTCACCATCAAGGACATGAATGACAACGCACCCTCCATAGAGATTCGGGGCATTGGGCTTGTCACCCACCAGGATGGCATGGCCAACATCTCGGAGGATGTGCCAGTAGAGACAGCAGTGGCTCTGGTGCAGGTGTCCGACCGAGACGAGGGTGAAAATGCCGTGGTAACCTGCGTGGTGGCTGGCGATGTCCCGTTCCAGCTGCGGCAGGCTAGTGAAACAGGAAGCGACAGCAAGAAGAAATATTTCCTGCAGACCACCACGCCACTGGACTACGAGTCGGTGAAGGACTACACCATTGAGATTGTGGCAGTGGACTCGGGGAACCCGCCCCTCTCCAGCACTAACTCTTTGAAGGTGCAAGTGGTGGATGTGAATGACAATGCGCCTGTCTTCAGCCAGAGCTTCACCGAGGTGGCCTTCCCTGAGAACAACGAGCCTGATGACCTGGTGATGGAGGTGAGTGCCAGCGATGCCGACAGTGGCTCCAATGCCAAGCTGGTTTACTCTCTGGTGACAGACCCTTCCTCCAAGGGCTCCTTCACCATTGACCCTGACTCTGGGGAGATCCGGGTGAAGGCGGTGCTGGACCGAGAGCAGCGGGAACGCTACGAGTTCTTGGTGGTGGCGGCAGACAAGGGCAGTCCCAGCCTCAAGGGCACAGCGTCTGTGGCCATCAATGTCATGGACAGGAATGACAACGACCCCAAGTTCATGCTGAGCGGCTACAACTTCTCAGTGATGGAGAACATGCCGCCCCTCAGCCCTGTGGGCATGGTGACGGTGATTGATGCTGACAAAGGAGAAAACGCCCGCATCCAGCTGTCCGTGGAGCAAGACAACGGGGATTTCGTCATCCAGAATGGCACTGGCACCATCCTCTCCAGCATCTCTTTTGACCGGGAGCAGCAGAGCACGTACACTTTCCGACTCAAGGCGGTGGATGGTGGGGATCCTCCCAGGTCTGCCTATGTGGGGGTGACAATCAACGTCTTGGATGAGAATGATAACGCCCCCTTCATCACTTCACCCTCCAATGCCACCTACAAACACATCCTGCCCCACACAAGCCCTGGCCAGCAGGTCAGCAAGGTCAAGGCAGAGGACATTGACTCTGGTGTCAATGCAGAGCTGACCTACAGCATCACAGGAGGCAACCCCTTTGAGCTCTTCCAGATCTCCCCGCACAGCGGAGACATCACCCTGGAGAAGGAGATCCTGCGCAAGCACCATGGCCTGCACCGCTTGGTCGTGCGTGTCAACGACAAGGGCAAGCCCTCGCGGCACGGCACGGCGCTGGTGCACTTCTACGTCAACGAGACGCTGGCCAACCGCACACTGCTGGACACGCTGGTGGGGCACAGCCTGGACACGCCGCTTGACATAGACATTGCTGGAGACCCCGAATACGAGCGCAGCAAGCAGCGGAGCAACATCCTCTTCGGAGTCATCGCCGGCATCGTGGCCGTCACCCTGGTCATCGTGCTGGTCGTCCTGGTGCGCTACTGCCGGCAACGGGAGGCCAAGAGCGGCTACCAGGCAGGCAAGAAGGAGACCAAGGACCTGTATGCGCCCAAGCAGGCCAGCAAGAGCGGTAAGAGCAAAAGCAAGGTGAAGAAGAGCAAGTCTCCGAAGCCACCCAAGCCCACGGAGGATGAGGAGGAGACAGGACTGCAGAAATCGCTCAAGTTCAACCTCATGAACGACTCTGTCAGTGACAGCCCCCGAATCCACCTGCCCCTCACCTACCCGCCGGGCAGCCCAGACCTGGGTCGCCACTACCGCTCTAACTCACCGCTGCCCTCTATCCAGCTGCAGCCTCAGTCGCCCTCTGCCTCCAAGAAGCACCAAGTGGTGCAGGACCTGCCGGCCACCAACACCTTTGTTGGCACCGGGGACAACAGCTCGACGGGCTCCGAGCAGTACTCGGACTACAGCTACCGCACCAATCCCCAGAAATACACCAACAAGCAGGTAGGAGAGCTCATCCTGAGGCCGGCAGCGGCCCCCCCGCTGCACCGGGGAGCCATCTGGACAGAGGTGTGGGAGTGAGCGTGGACTGGCCACCCCAAGCCCTGCATGCGTGGCCTGGGGG